CATTATACCTGTCCTGCTTATCTTTGTCCATGCTGCACTGCCTAGTCATCATTCAACATCCACTTTGCACAGCGTATTTTCTGTGAAGCTTCTGCCAAGTAAAATGGAATGTTGCTGCATTTGTGCTCTCAGCCAGACGTTTTGTACACAGTTCTTCATTTCTCTTTCTCTCCTTCTTCTTGACTGTGAACCTTTCAAGGGCAGGGAGGGCACGTTAGAAGCCCTTCTAGCACCTAGCAGCTCTGTTATATAGAAGGCATTTAGAAAATGTACATTGAATTAAAGAAGGCTTAAAGACCCTGTCTAGTAATTCTGAAGTCATAAAATTCTATTTAAAGTACAGCTACAGGAGTTGGCTTCATGACCTCTTCTGGCAGCAAATCTCATTTATTACTATAAATGGCATAAAGTAATTGTCTTCATTTGTTTAAAATTTAATGTCCTTTATTAACATCTGGTGAATTGAATTAAAGAACTTTCTCTGTTAATGTAATTCAGTTTTGAACATATCTGAGATGTTTCTAACAACATCATTCAGAGTCCTCTCAAGCTTTTTTATGAGTAATGTTTCATTTGGCTATTTCCCTATTCTTTATATTTATATATCATATCATGTTTTTCTCAGTCATTTACACTACATTTATTCAACTGGTTCCACAGTAATTGAAAACAAATACATAAAAATAACATGTCTTCATATTTTTCCCCTTTGGTGAATTTTACCCATATCTACTGAATTACTCTGCATTGATATCTATTTAATTTTTATTTCTTAAATTGACCTTCTCTACATAATAATAATAATAATAATAATAATAATAATAATAATAATAATAATAATAATAATAATAATAATAATAATAATAATAATAATAATAATAATAACTTACCTATAATGATGATGCAACAATGCATTTGAGTTTGTGAAATAGTGAAACTAATGAATAGGGTTGTACACTTCATTCAAACATATCCCCAATCCAAACACTTCTGTCTATTGCCACTGCCACCAAACTTAACCAGCATCATCTCTCAACTCAACTACTGCAGTAGTCTTTGGACTGGTTACTGCTTTCAGGTTTGTCCCTCTACTGTACACAGAACATTTGAAGATCCTTTAAAATTTTTATCAGATCTTCTTAGTCCCCCAGTCAAAACCCTCCTCTCTCTATTGTACCATAAAATAAAGTCTGAGCCCCTGTACTAGTCCGTTTTGTGCTGCTATAACAGAAATACCTGAGACTGGGTAATTTATAAGGAAAAGAGGTTTATTTGGCTTACAATTCTGGGACAGCTACATCTGGCGTGGGCCTCAGGCTGCTTCTACTCATGGCAGAAAACAGCAGGCAGCCTCTGGGTACAAGCAGATCACATGGCAATGGGAAGCAAGAGAGAAAGAGGTGCCAGGATCTTTTAAACAACCAGCTCTCACTGGAACTAATAGAGCAAGAACTCACTCACTACCCCAACCCACCAGGGAGAGCATTAATCCATTCATGAGGGATCTGCCCCTATGATTCAAACAGCTCCCAACACTGCCACATTGTTGATCATATTTCCACATGAGTTCTAGGAGGACAACACATCCAAACTCCATCAACCCCTTACAGTGACCTTTGAGGCCCAGCATGACCTGGTGCTGCCTGCCTTTCTAAAGCCCCCTCTATCCCACTGTGACCTGGTCACTACAGCTACAGGTACAATGAGGTTTTTTTTCTTCTCCTTGAACATGCATTGCTTGTTCCTGTCCTGGGCCTTCGCACCTAGTATCCACTCTCCTTGCAATGCCTGGTCTTGTACATGCAGCAGGGTCCTTACCTTCAGCTCAAACATGACCTCCTTGGTGAGGTCTGCCTTTCTTGACTGCTTCCTCTCAGTGGCTCTGTCTCCACCTAATGGCCCTATTAATTCAGTCTGCCTCGGATCTTAGCACTCAGACCCATCAGAGTCTCTGCCACTTCCTTCTTACACCTGGTTAAAGCTGTGAACCTCACAGACCTCTGTGGCTGAGCCATTTTGCTCTTAGGAGGCCCATCTTTCTCTCCTCACCTCATTTTCTGTATCACAAGATAGCTAAAGGAGACTTGGGATTGCAAACTAGGTGTGTCAGACCATGCGACGCTCCATGGAATGACTCAGCACAGTAATCTCTTCCCCAAAATGTACTCAAAAACTCTAAGCATCCCCTCAACTTAATTAAAAATCCTTTTTTTTTTTTTTTTTTTTGTGTGTGTGTGTGTGTCTGGCCAGTACAGGGATGGAACCCTGGATTCCAGTGCTATCAGCACCATGCTACCATGCTCTAACCAACTAAGCTGCCAGCCAGCCCAGGAATTTCTAAAGCTATTCCCCCTAGAGGTTTGGCTTTAAAAACCTGGAAGGAGAAAACAAGAGCTGTGGCAGCCACTTCCGTCTTCCACTTGATCTTTCTCCCCACCTCTTCTGACATTTCTCAAAGGAACAGATGAAGAGGGCTTTTTTCCTATTGCTCTTTCTACATGATTTCTTCATATAAAATTCTACTTCTTTATATAAAATTCTATGCAAACCCAGTCATTTATGTTTGCTGACTAACATCAAGATGAAAAGTGAAAACATTTAGTGAATCATCTTAATGTTTCATCCCTAAGTTACTAAGCCTATGGATCTTGGCAAAACATCCAAATAGTAAACTAATCCACCAAGCCTGGTGTTGATATGGTAAGAAGAAACTGAAAGAATTTGGAAATATTTCTTTCTCAGACTGACTGCCTTTAAACCATACATCAAAATAGTGCTTTAAGTTGCAGAAATAGAGTTTCTCTTCTCCACCTCTACCCCATGACAGGCAGATGCCTTGACTGCTGTAGAAGTCAAGACATGTATAAAAGCAAAAGAGAAAAGTGTATTGTCATTATGTGACTGGCTTAGACACAAACGTAAGCAATGGAAGAGAATGATTTTCTCCCTTCATGCAATAGAAAAAGGAGGGTAGAGGTAATAACTATATTCAAATAAAACATTATCAACAAAAGTAATCACAATGCAAGAGAAACTCCATTACTTGAGTGTTATTTATTCAGCATGCTGAGCCAGTAAATCATAGCCATGATTTGGGAAATACAGACACTCTCAAACACACAGACAAATCTGAGTTGCCAAATACATAGCAGAACTCAGGCCACTTGCTGGCCCTCATTATTTGCTTTCATTCTGGAAAGAATTGCAAATATTTGATTTTTCTGACTTTCTGACCAAGATCATTTTTGAAAGCATCAAATCAGACATTGGATTATAAAAACAGGTACAATGAGAGCAAGAATGGCATTTGATGCTAAGGCAGAAAATAGTAAAAAAAATTCACAGGTACTCAAATATCATAACAGTCTGGAAACAGATGATATAGGGGTAAATATCCCTTCCCTATTTTTATTAAGTTATTAAATGTTTTGATCCTTTTGTCAAGAATTATAACCACTACATTACATATCTTATGTGCAATAATTGTTTTTGTGTTTTTACTCATTTAACAATCTTAAGCACAAGATATGCATGGTTTCAACAAAGAAACTTGATCTACCCTACAAACCATTTCATTATTCTTTTTCTAACTGGGGGCTCAAATTGCATTGACAGTAAATATCTGGACAAAATAGTCTTATAAACAATGCCCAGGAGGCCATATGCAAGTGAAGACTAATCAGAAAGGGTAGGCACTTTAAAGTTAGTTCTGGATTTAACCCCCAGCAACAACGCCTTCCAACTTCTTAATATGGACAAGTTGTTTTAATTATAAGAATTCTATAAGATGAGGAAAATAAAACATACCTTACAGTATTACTTTGATGATTAAATGGCAATCATACACTCCTACAAAAACACTAAACAGATGTTACAAAATATAGACAAAGTTATTTATCTGCAATGTCTTACATGTTTGAGAAAAGGATAATTAGGAGAGATTTAATTTTAAAGACAAGACAGATCTATTTCTTCATATTGTTACCTTTAAATGAGTTAGAATCCAATATTGAAGTATAAATAAGGAGAAAAAATACTAAATTCCTATTAAGCATAATCCAAGTCTATGTGTAAATACACAATTAAATCAGACTTAATTTTATTTTAAAATCTACTGATTTCAGGAAAAAATAAATTCAGGTGTTTAAGAGACATAAAATTGGAAATAAAGATTATGTGCGCGTGTGTGTGTGTGTGTGATGAGGGCAGGATACCTAACGACCACTTTTGATAACTTCTAGGTATGGCGAGGCTGATTAGGTCTGTTCTATAGCAAAAAACACATTTTTCGCGGGGAATAAACTCATATAACACAGTTTTGGGGGGCATTATCTTAAAGAGAAAACTGAATAGTTTAAAGGTAACTGTTCTTGATTATGGCGATGAATTCCAGTGTGTCAGTTTCCCACTTTGTGTTAAATTTAATCCTTATTCGTTATAGAACAGATAATTCAACAAGATTTGAAAGCACTTGCCTCCATTTATACCAATCATGTATGTTGGCTGGCATACATCAACATGAAAGTGAAAGACATTTAGACAAATCATCTAATTATTTGATTTTTAATTTGCCAAGCATCTAGATACTTATAAACATCCAGATGATTTAGGAAATTAGTTTTATTTTTTGTTTGTGTTTTTTGTGCTATGGACATAATTTATCTGTAAGTGGAAAACATAAAAAATAGATACCATGAAATACTCTTATATATACTTATCAAGATATCTTATACTCACTTCCTTATAGTTTCAACTAAAATTCATCCTTTTTGATAACAGTTTTCCTATTGTGTATTTTAATGGCTTAAGTGATTCAATAGCATTTTCCACAAAATTAAAAGAAATCATAAATTGATATAAGCAAAGGACACAATAATATATACAGAAAGGTCTACGTTTGTAAGATGCATGATTTCTTTTAGTTTAATTTTGGTTATTTAGTTACATGTATAGTACACCCAGCACATTTAACCAACACACATTATTTCTCTCTTTCTCAGCAGGTTTAGAATGTAATAACCCAAGGATTTGATAACACAGTGGAGTAGTTTGACAACGGTCTATGTGCTTCGCATGATATGTTCTCTATATTGTAAGTATATATTTACTTTCTCAAGCTGGCTTGATTAAATGTGTTCAATTAGAACTTATAGATAACTTAGACTAAACTACCAAGCTACTAAACACATTGGAATTTGGGAGTTTTTTATTTGCTCGGCGCACCTGCTGTAACTGGAGGAATTAGCTGATGACAGCCCTGCCCATCACAATGAGTGATCACAATCAAAAAGTAAAAGAAAATTGTAATAAATTTCTCTATGAAAGACACTCTTAAAAAAACAGAAATATAAGTTTCAGGCTTGTAAGTCACATATCTGATAAAGAATTTGTATCCACAATATATAAAAAAAACTCTTAAAACTTAATAAAATAATAAACAACCAAATTTTAAAATGGACAAAATATCTGAAGTTTATCAAAATATGTATGGGTGGCTAATTAGCATATGAAAAGATGTTCAACATCATTAGTCATCAGGGAAATGCAAATTAAAACCACAATAAGATACAAGTACACACCTATTAACATGAGTAATAATTATTAAAAATCTGAAAATAACAAATGTTGGTAAATGTGCCAAGCCACAGGGACTCTCATTTATTGCTGATGGGAATTCAAAATGGTATTGCCACTTTGGAAAACTGTGTCCTGTTTTCTTATAAAGGTAAATATACACTTACTATAGGATCCAGCAATCCCATTCCTAGATATTTACCTAATTGAATCAAAAACTTATTTTTACACAAAAACCTATATGTGAATATTTAGAGCAACTTTATCCTTAATTGTCAAAATGTGAAAATTACCAAAATGTTGTCTTCAAATGGTGAATGAATGAACAAACTATGGTATATCTATACAATGGAATGCTACTCAGCTATGAAAAAGGAAAGAACTATTGATTCATGCATATCATAGATGAATCTTAAATGCATTTTGTTAAGTAAAAGAATGCAGACCAAAATGACTAACTATTGTATGATTCCATGTATCTGAAATTCTGGAAAAGGCAAAAGATAGAGATAGGCAACTGATCAGTGGTTTCCCAGGTTAGAGATCTGGGAGGGTTGACTACAAAGCAAATGTAGGAGGAAACTTGGGCAGTGGAACTGTTCTGTATGGTACTTCTGTGCTGGAAAAATTACTGCACTAATCAAAACCCACAGAACTGTACACACAAAGAGTGAGCTATACAGTATACAAATAATAATAATGAAAAAAAAAAAACAAGATGGGGTATCCCAAGATGAAGTGAAGACTGTGACAAGTGAATCTAACCAAATTACACATGTAAGGCATAATTTCACTGAAGGCAATAGGAGGAAAGGATCTAGCCTAAGCATTTTGACAGGACAAAACCTGAAAAGTATAAGACTAGCTACAAAAACAACAGTACATAGACACTACTCTAGTAGATAATTTTGTTTTTCTCAAAGAAGTACAGGGGCTGACTGGTTATCTCAGTTGGTTAGAGCGCAGTATCATAACACCGAGGTCATGGGTTCAGATCCTTGCCCTGGCCAGCCACCCCCCAAAAAAACCAAATAAACGAACAAAAGGAGTACAGGTTAGCAATTCTGAAACTGATTTTCATGTGAACTAGGATGGAATGCATAAGTAAATAAATTGTTGATATTGGGAACTAGATTTCTTATTGCCGGAGAAAGAAGTCACAAATAACCAAGGGAAAATGGCTAAAATTAACCTTGTAGTGCTGTATTAGAGATTTATATAAAATTATGAACTCATTTTAATTTTAATATATATAAAGATATAGTAATATAGACATGTGTGCATACATGGGTATACTTAGATAACACTTACTAGCTCTACCTGCTGAAAGTTCCTTGAAGCAAAGATACCACAGTAGCAATGAGCATACCTTATGCCCAGATTTTAATTTCTAAATGCCATTCTCCAATAAAAAAAGAACCAGGGCTCCCAGGAAAAGTGTCTGATTCTAGGACTGGGATGGGAAAATGCAAGATGAGCCTGAAGCATCTTGTAGTGCCAGAAAGTGAAAAAAAAATGACAAAATAACTATTGGGACATGTCAGAAGAACACAGGAACTAACCAGAAAGAGTTTCCAATTACTAAAGCTGAAATACTTTAAGCAACTTAATAACGATCATATTAGATTGTAACCTAATGAGTAAAAGAAAAATCCATGACTCCACACTGATATAAATAAGTGATTGAATAAATAGATTAATGATGGAGAACGGCAAATCTTCCTTACAGAAAAATTTCAAATAGTATATGTAGATACCTCACTCGTCTCCCCCACCCAATAGGCAAAGCTTAATTCTGCTTCCTTGAGTATGGATGGGATTTAGTGACTTGGTTTTATAGAATAGAGAGTATGGAAAGAAGGGGAAAAGGTAACTTTTCCATAGAAAACCTCGACAGACACCACCTTCATCAAGTGATCAAGATTAACATCTCCAGTGATAAGTCACGTTGATACATGTGCCCTGGTATAATGTGATGAGGACGACTCACTTCTGCAGTATTCTTCCCCAGAATCCATAGCCTCACTGCGACCATGAGAAAAACATTAGACAATGCCAAAGTGAGGGATACACTACAAAATACCTCACCAATATTCTTTAAAAATTTCAAGGTCATGACAGGAAAGATAGAGAAACACAGCTGAGGAGATGTAAGAGACATTTAAACTTAATGCAGTACAGGATCTTGAAGGAGAAAAAGAACATTAGCAAGAAAACTGGTGAAATCTGAATAAAGCCTGTAGTATAGTTACTATTATTTGATTAATGTTCCTGTAATAACATTACAGACTTATAGTGAGCATGTGAAGTAGAAAATTCAGATAGCATCCTTTATTTATAAACAAGAAAGTCTCTGAGAGTTTAAGTGATTTGCCTACAGTCAGCAGTTTATAAAGGGTAGAGCATCTACATAGAACACAACTTGACTTTTATACCACATCATGAAGTCCACACTATATGGAAATATTCCTATTTGTAATGTTATGTTCTTGTTTATCTTAATTTACAAAGATGATCAAGTTCTGTTCCTTAATTTAAATAAAATTCTAACCAATTTTGTATCATTAAAAAAACATTATTTACATTTACAGTCAAAATTCTCACCTGAGATATCTGTTTTCTGTTGAACTTCAAAGTTCCCCCTAGGTTACTAGATTGGAAATCATTCTTGCTAATTTATTTGCCTTATATTAGACATAGTATGCTTTCACTCTAGGGATACCTAATATATGAGAATGAAAAAAATCACAAAATACATAAAGTGAGAAATGATTTTTTTGTTAAGAAATGATCATTTATCTCACAGAGCATTTATCATGTCTTTTCTTGGATAACAATCTTATCATATTTTTTCATGGTGCAATTTTGTTAGATTTATACACAGTATTTCAGAAGAAATAGATTCATTTTATAAAGTAAAGCATACCTACCGTTGGACATTGTGAACCTTTCCTTTAATAACTGTATTACTGTGCCCATCTGCTGCAATTTCTCTAAGTAAAAGGGATCTCATGATCCACACACAGTTTTAATATGGAGAAAATTAATAGCTTACTCTCACTTATCAATAAATCAGGCTTTCTCCCTATTGCTTTTCAGTCACAATGCCGACTTCTAGGGGAGCTTATTTTATTAGGTAATTTGAAAACACTTAATTAGGCTATTTGAAAAGCTTCTTGAAGATGAGAGGATTATAAACAATAAAATAAGATACACCAATAGAAAAATATGTTTATACTGTCAAATAATAGTATAGTAGGTACAGAAGGCAAATGCAAAATCAGTCTGGTCCATCCTATATTTAAATCTCATTTGATATCTGTTGCCATGCAAAATCTGCTTTGAAAAGAATACACCCAACCCTGTTCCAGCCAGCCACCACAGAAGAAAAAAAAAGAAAAAAGAAAAAAAAAAGAATATACCCAAATCTACCTTTCTACCATATTTTAATGTTCAGAGCTCTTACTATGTGCTTTTTTCTAATCTAAATCCCCTTCTACCATAGTAAAAGCCTATTTCATTTTTTGTTTGTTTGTTTGTTTTGTTTTTGTTTAAGAGGTTATTCAGAAGAGTTCTTTTTATAAGACCTGTCCTTTTGTACTAAGCCTTGCTACTGAACCGCCTGGTGAATAATAAGTATGTAGAAAAATTGTGGTTCTGAATTTCTAAACAAAATGCCATTGAGTGCATTTTTCAGTTAAGAAAACTAGACTTAAGAGGTTAAGTCATCTAAGGGGTAATTAGGGTAGCCTGGAAGGGACTGCAAGTGTGAGAGGCTCTGGAGTCCCAGTGTCTCTGATGATCATTCTATATGCAGCAGAAAATAATTCTTGGTGTCTCAAATCTATCCCCTCCCCAAAGACAAGTAGTGGTGTGTAGATGGATAGATGGATGTAAGGGTGGATGGAGGAGGAAGGATGGATAAAAAAACAGATAACTTCTTCTTGAGTTATTCCTCTCAATATCTTCCATACCATGGACAATGTTTTATCCAGATACGGAAAACTTATTTAAAGGAATTGAAGAACACAGTTGGTGATATAGAATTCCATGGAACTTGGATAGTTTCAGAGAAAATTGAAGCTGTAATGTTTTTACATACTACTTTATTTTGATTACCCCCCAAAATAATGTCAATTTATTCTGGCCTTAATAGTAGGGTCAAAATCAATGCCCAGAAGACTATCTATAGTAATGGCTATTTTATATTCTTATCCTTTTTAATGGTATACTCTTATTTTGAATATGCAGATATAAGCCGTTCTAAGTCTATGCTTCAAATTATATGCTCTATGGAAAGAAGTAGTCAACAAAGATGATCAGAAAATCCGAATTTATCTTTTTCTAACTGTCCTTAAATTTTTATTTTTAGGGACTGTGATTTCCCTATAGGTATGTTATAAAGAGACAAGAAAACACTTCACAGTCAACCAGCCACCCTAGAAAAAACACTAGTTTTTTTGGAGTAAAATTTATGTTAGTGAGTACTTAGAATTAGTAGAAGCAGATTAAAATATT